CCAACCTCCCAACCCAGCCAGCTGCAAGCTCTGGTGTCCCGTGGGTTCCCCTGGCCCCACCAGCCAGCTCTGTTCCCAGCTGCTGGCAAACTCTGTACTGGGGTGCTTTAGTGCAGCAATATCCTTGGTTCTTCCAGACCATGGATGTTGGCAGACCAGAGTCCTGGGCCACAGAGGTTCAATCTGTAGAAAAATTACTCTTCTATTTTAAAATCTTGTTCATCTGTAACATTGGCTACCAAATGCTTCCTTTTCATAGCTCAGATGTTATGAGCTATGAAAACAAACTTGGACAAACTAATCAGCTTGCTGTTTTCACCATAATTTTCTCAGATGCTGAAATGTATAGAGCTTGATGAACGACTGAAAGCCATGGATCAAGAGATCACTGTGAACCCTCAATTTGTGCAGAAGGTAACTGACATTAAGATCTTTCACAGAGAATGTATGCTGAACTTACTTTAAAGTCATACATTAAAATGAAGTCAGGAGGGTGACTGACTTGTAAACATCACACATAATGAGCAGAAAGCAAGAGTGCAGGTCCTTGTATGTGTACTTCATTTTCCTGTTTGTTGATTAGGCACTTTAGAGTTGCGTAAGATGAAAATCTTAGGAAAGAATTTTTACAGAATTAACTTCTCTTCTTCCCTTACAGAGTATGGGCTCGCAAGAAGATGATTCAGGAAGCAAACCTTCAAGTTATTCTTGAAATTAACATTGGCCACTATGCTGTTTTAAAGTAAAAGCTAAAGAAAACCACCTTTTGGACTGGGCATGGAGAGGTCCTATAAAGGGAGCAGAGAGAACTGAGACTTCATCTGGACATTTAGAAAATAAAATGACACCTCCTCAGTTACTGTATGATTTCAAAAATATTCTCTGCAAAGAAAGGAAATCTCAAAAAAGAAATTTAAAGTCTGTTGTGGATTTATTTATCTTCAGATTAACAGCGTTAATGCATTAAATAATCTTCCTTTTGTTTTAAGTGGTTTGAATGTTACTGTTTCTGTAGCGGTCCTTTTTCCTCTCGTACAAAATTTGCTTAGTGTGTGTGTTCAGGGAAGAATACAAACAAGCGTGTATCACTTATGCAAGACAATTAGTTCATTATTTGAAAACATTTAGGACTCAAAGTTTGCTCTATAAACAGATTTATTTATCCTATGTATAAAAAAAATTAACCGTTTTTGTGAACTTGCATTCTGCCCTTGTATTCTGCCTCTGCTCAATCCAGCTGGCAGGTGTCTTATTAATTAAATATAAATCCTCTTCATCCCCTAAAACTGAAAATATTACCATAGCACTCCAGTACTGGTCTTGAATTAGAATGTGGCATTTTCTGGCTCTGCTGTAGAGCACAAAAGATTGTAGAGTCCTCTATATATGACTACTTATTTTATGCTGGTAATTTTAAAACCAATGGTAGAATTAATGTCATTCAGTATTAATGGAATATTCTTGCGATCAGATGAAGATTTCTAGAGCTGAACAAAAGGGTATCTTTAAAACCTGAATTCATGGGGCACAATGGATGTGAAGTCCAGTTTATCTTGAAAAGATCTCTGACTCAAGACTCTACAACTTGACACAAAGGAGCTTGTAAAACAACCTGGGACTTGGCTATATGTGAATTTAAGTACAAGGGGTGCTGTAGAGCTGCTGCTGTTGTTTACCATTCAGTGGCACCTTTAATACACTGCTAATACAAAAGCAGACTTTAAATCAATGGCAGTAACCTACCCTGGAATTAGAGATGTAAGCATCTAGTTGAGTAGTATCAGAGGCAGCGGGGGTGGAAGGAAGCAGGAGCCGGTGGAGGGGAGGTGCCAGTTTAAAAGCTGGTTTCCCCCAGCACCATCTCTGCGGTTCGGGGGAGGCAGAATTGTAGCAGTCCTGGAGCTGGCGTGAGCTATCCCCACTGTGGCTCTGTACTTTAAGTGTAGTAAGAGTTAAGAGCCGCAAGACTACTTCTAAAATGCAGAGCCACAGTGGCAGTAGCAAGCACCCCCTCTCGACTGATCCAGTCGTTGATGGAAATTCCATCAATTGCTCAATTAGCTAACTAACTGTTACTTAACACCCCTAGATAGAATAGTGATCTGCAATTTGAAATCCAAGGATTCATTTCTTGACCATAGTGGCTTTATTGAATTATTTACTCACTGAATCAACAAATTGGTGGTTTTGTAGTTTTTGTATATCTGAAACTTCTCATCTTAACAGCACTTTTGAAACCGGTACTGCCATTGCTGCTCCACTTGCTGTCAGACATAAACTTGTCACTGGGTCTGTTCCAGATTTCTTCAGCACTTTCCAGTGCCACTTAAGTATTTCCATGGGAGCTGCTGGGTGCTGGGCACCACTGAAGGCTGTTCCACATGGGTCTACTGTGTGGCTATAGAGTACTGCTATGTCCAGTGGGGGGATACTGTCAAAGAGTTAAGTATCAGAGGGGTAGCCGTGTCAAGGAGTTCTAACTCTAGCAGAGCCTTTTTTGTCAGTGGTATGTCTGCTCCAGTGAAAGGGAAAACAAGGCCCAAATTCATCTGTAGGTGGTATGTAAGGGTTTGTTAACCCCATGCGATTTGCTACTTTATTTTGTGCATCAACAGCAAAAACCAAAACCCTACAGCAGCAAATCTCAGAGCCCAGCTCTGTAGATGTGGGCTCATGCAAAAGGGCTAAAAATAACTGTCCAGGTGTTCCAGCTTGAGCTGTGAAATCCATCCGGAGCTCCAGCCCAAGCCAGTATTAACATGGGACCTAGGCAGTATACCTGTGCTCTGAGACTTGCTGCAGGAGCATACTTTTTTCTTTCCTGGGTAGACACATCCTTGGATATGCTGCTTCCCATCACAACAGCTTCTGTATTGAAGGCAGCTTTCACACCTAACCTAATAGCGAGTCCTTGTCTTCTATAATTTGCCTTGCGCTCTTGTAATTAGTAAAGATTTGTGATTTTAAGTCTTAAGCAGGTCTACACTAGGGGTAATGTTGGCTTTGCTGGAGTTGATGTACTTTAGATTGAGTTCTCATGGCATCTCTATTCTGGTGAGAGTGGGGGTGTTGATGGGGGAAAAACTCTTCCATCAACTTCCTTTACTAGTCTCCATCTGGTTGAATATTGGAGTCAATAATAGCGTGATCAGCAATCACGTTAGTGATCCCGCGGGGTTGGGTTTAGCTGGTACTGCGGGGATTGACCCACCTCACAGTAAGTGTAGATAAGCTGTTAAGACTCAGCTTTGTAAAGACATTTTGACAAGAGTGTAGTCAGCCTCACAATGCCTCAACATTCAGGAGCCTAAATCTCATTTTCAAAAGGGGTTTAGGCACTTGCATCCAAATGGGATTAGGATTCCTAAACTGAGTAATGCCCAGATTAGTAAACTCCAGTTTAATTCTGCAATGATTTATTTAATGTTGAACGTGTGCTGTTCCATGCTCTGGAAATACCTTGAACTTGCAGTGCTACCACACTTTTATTTGTGTGAAGCTGAGTTGGGAGAGAGGCCTTAACCATGTACAGTTGCCACACAACGGATACAGACAATGACTAACCCCAAACTGCAGCTTATACGAACACATGGAAAAAGTCTCCTTTTAAAGAAGAATTGTGAAAAACACGGCACAGGAAGTGAATATAACATAGCATTTAAGTTTTAAAGGCCGCCTCCCAATATCTGTTTTCTAAGTGATAGTTGAGCTATACAACTTTAAGCAGTTCCTATTTGTGCTTTTTGTGGATTTGTCTCAAATGACTGTCAAACTACTTAGCTTAATATAATACCATCATGAAACTAGTGCTAGTCATGTGGAGTTGATTTGCTACAGCTTCTTAAGTTGTATAATTTGATTTTTCGTCCTCACACTGGTCAAATAAGCCACATGAACAATTCAAAGCGATGGTGTAAACACCTATAGAAGTTCTTAAGTTATATAGTCCTTGTTTTATCTATAGTATTTTAATGTTCTAAATGTGTTGATATTCAAAGCCAATCGGCTACTTTAGCCACACAATCTCATTGGAACTGCCAGAAGTTGTGTGGCTCAGTTCTCAAATTGGTTTTGAAAATTGTGATCAAGATCCCTTTATGGCTCATGTTAGATTGTAAGCTCTAGTGCCCTAAGCCCGTGGCAGCTGGAAGGCCTGAAGTAAGATAAGAGTGACAACACCCTATGTGACTCAGTTCTGGCATCTGTTAAACAGCCTCAGGGATTGTTGCAAATAAAGTTTTGTAGGTTTTCAACAAATGAACTCCTTGCATTGCTTTCAGATGACCTGGTCACTAAAAGGTGCAGAACAGCTTAGACCCAACTGAGGGACTGGAAGTTTGGCAATACGTAAGCCTTTCTGGATTTAAATACTGTTTTAGAGAAGAACATACGATTGAACTTTATATTGTACACTATGCCATTTAAAATCTCAAAGATCCTGTAGCCATAATCTTCGTATCCTAACTGCTCACAGGATGCATCCACAAACTATAAGATGCATGTACAGTGAAATAAATCTAATTCATTGGTGTATTTACTTTGCAACTATTCCAATTTAATGGTAAGCTATACCCTTCCTTAAAACATGCAACTCCAGTTTCTAGCCACTAGGTGGGGCTTTGAATTTAGTTATTTAACAGAGGTTGAAATAGCGAAGAAAGGGCCAGAAGTTGCTTCTGATATCTTCCTGTAAGAAGTGTGCCATTTCTAAGGAGCACTGCATCATAACCAGTTCACTGAGCTTTTCACACATGCAGTAGACTTGCTGTTGCTCCAGGTGCTGCTGCCTTACTATAATCGCTTCTTTCTGCACATCTCTCCCCTCTTTTTACTACGCTACAATTGTGACCCATTTCTTGTGTTGTCATAGGCTATCTGTGTAACTGAGGAAATGTGGTTTGCTGCATGGCCTAAGTGGCTGAGAAGGTTAGTCCTGAGGAGTTGTTTAAATGTACTATTAAAAAATAAAGATCACAAACAGCAGTGTCATTTTTCTAGTTTCTTACATGCGCTATGCCTGTCGTATAATAGTGAGACGTTAGCTGAGGCTCTGAATCGGCTATGAGTATAGCTTCCTCCCCCCCTCCATTTTTAACAAAATGAGCTCTCCACAAGCCGTGTGACTGTCTGGAGTGACCCTAGAGGGTCTCCAGTTCAGGCTGCATCTATAATAGAAATGAAGATGCATGGATCACAGTTAGAAACAGGATGCTGATGTAGGTAGAGCTCAGGTCTGAACCAGAATGCAAATTCCTATGGTTGCTGTATGTAAAGACTTGCATGGTGGTTGTATATGTAAAGGCTTGTAACCTTGATCGGCATTAGTGGCATAGTCTTCAATAGGAACATTTGGCTGGGTGCACAGTGTAAGTTTTCATTCCATGGGTAAAGTAATGATTGACAGGTAAGGGGAGTGTCAGTTGATTTTTGTTGGCTGGGTGCACAGTGTAAGTTTTCATTCCATAGGCAAAGTAGTGATTGACAGGTAAGGGGAGCGTCAGTTGATTTTTGAAGGTTTTTAAATCATAATCACCAGCAGTAGCAAGGTGGTGGAGGGTGCAGGGAGCCTTGCTTTTTTCTTACACCCACACCCTCACAGCTGCAGGACCGTCAGTTGGTGGAAACTTTTGATAATACCCAACTCAACCCATTTCTGAGGACATATCGTTCAAAAGCCTTTCCTCCCACAAACTTGAGAGTACCAGATGTGACTAGGCTAGATCAGTTATTATGTAGATATGTATTTGAGACGTTTAAAATCAACTTTTTAAAAACTATACTCTAACACGGGGCTTAGGCTAGATCAGTTATTATGTAGATATTTTTTGAGACTTTTAAAATCAACTTTTTAAAAACTCTACTCTTAACACGGGGCTGCATTCCTAATATTAAAAAAACAAAAACAAAACAAAACCTGATGTTGGCTCATCCTAGGGAGGTTAATCTTAATATGTAGAAGTTAATGCAGTGTTGAAGCCACGTCAGTTC